GATCGTGTGTTTTTAGAGGTCAAGTTGATTGGAACTTTTAATGACATACATTGTCATAACAAAACTGAATATATGCGCAATTCTGTTTATATCGAATGTTTCTTCAAGATACTTTTGTTCGCCTGATCCTTCAGGAAATCTAGACCCTAACTGTACGATTGAAATAAAGTGAAAATAGAATTTTTAAATCTCTGATTTAAATATTCTATAACAAATGCTCTCAATTTACCTCGACATAAATCATACTGCCAAATAGACTTATAAGTCCACCAACTATCCATAACATTAGGGCAGATCCTGGAGATTGTACTAGTCTCCATACATTACTAGGTGTTATAAAAATTCCTTATAAAAACATGAGAATGATGAGCTTTATCGCAATAAATTAATAAAATTAAAAAAAAAGTACAAACCTGCTCCAATGATATGATTAATGTTATATCCTAAACCTGAAGAAGTTTTTAAAATTTTTTTTCTCCCAGTTTCAGGGATGTCAACTCCCATTTGATTATCCTTATTATCCATGATTGAATTAATTATAAAAGAGGAAAAGCTAAATAAATATCAATTAATATTAATTAAGGGTAGTCCGCAGTTGAAGGGGTAAAAATTTATAATTAAGAGTGGCGCAGTATTATTACTATTAGTTTACGGATGCTGTATTCTATTGGTATTAACCATAAGTAAAAAATTGAAAAACGTGATATAATAAGCTGATTTATTAATTATCGTCAGAATCAGAAAAATTAGCTTTACAAGTTTAATTAGAAATTGAAGAAAGGTTTACTTGGAAATAATAATAATAATAATAATAATAATAAAGCCTCATTCACATACTATAGAAAATTTATAATTCCATTCAAAACTGAACTATCTTTTAATTTATTCAAAAATCTTGACAAATGATTGTTCTATTTGGTAAAAATCAAAGAATATCCGTTGTTACGACTAAAGTTGCGTGTGCAACATATATGTAAATGGCAATATATTTTTAGGAAATATTAAAATATTAAAGTTTCATTAATAGAATTATTAGATCGTTACGCACAATAAACAAAAAGGGACGTTGATCAATTTTCTAACAAAGAAAAAAAGAGAATCTTGATTACTGTTCTAACTGAAATTAGTACATCATTTTGGTACGTACATACCAATATGGTCATTGAATATAGTATGATTATTTAACCATAAATGTCAATTTCTTTAATTAGTAAGAAATTTTTATGTATTTTGACTAATAAATTCATATAAAGACAAATTTTAAAAACTAATAAAAAATTTAATCATCTCACACGGGGCAACGCCGAACCTGAGTTAATCCTTAACATTTATATTATTCAATCCTTCATTTTTCAATCAATAATTTCTGCTTTTGGATCTCTTAGTTTAATTGACCCGGCCTATTAACAATGTTGGCATTTTGACTGTCCAATAAAAAATTTTATTTGGATTTGGACAAATATGGACTAGTGTACATGTCCATATCTTCCTTTACTAAATTTTCGGGATATTTCAGACCTTTATCCTAATTATTCTATCTGGAATATTTCGGAGTAACAGGTCCATGTTGTAACAAGTACCTCAGTGGCACCGACAGAATTTCGCTGAACTGTATTCTAGAACATTTTGATCAGCCAATCAAAATTTGTTTATTTCTAATTTTGACCGTTTTTTTAAAATCCTAGCGATGTTTTCCTACTAACCACTCAATTAAACTTTAATAAAATAATTTAATTTTAATTCTATAGATCCATGGAATTAAAATAAAAAAAATTTCATTAAATTAGGATGGTTTGCTGTCGAGAAATCTTCGCCAGAAGTTTAAAAAAAAAATATAGAAAGTCAAAAAAAAAACCAAAATCGGACGAATTTTTTCCTCTTTTACTTTAAACGAAGATTTCTTGACAATCAACTATCCAAATTCGATGAAACTTTTTTTTATTTTAATTCTATGGATTCATATAATTAAAATTAAAAAAAATTGGTCGAATTTGAATAGCTAGTGATCAAGAAATATTCATTATAAGTTAAAAAAAAATTTGGCCGCAGCTTTCCTTTTATAGGCATCTAAACTTTGAACGAAGATTATTCGGCAATACCTAGTCAAATCTGATCAAAATTTTTTATTTTAATTCTATAATCACATAGAATTAAAATAAAAAAAATTGATCGAATTTGACTAGGTAATTGCCGAATAATCTTCGTTCAAAGTTTAGATACCTATAAAAGGAAAGCTGCGACCAAATTTTTTTTTTACTTATAATGAATATTACTCGACATTCAGCTATTCAAATTCGATCAAAAATTTTTTATTTTAATTCTATGAAGCCACAGAATTAAAATAAAAAAAGTTTCATCAAATTTATACAATTAATTTTCAAAAAATCATGAGTTAAATGTTTTTAAAAAAAAAGAAATGCTGCAACAAAAATTTCACTTAAACTTTAAATAAAGATTTCTTGACAACCAATTATCCAAATTTGGTGAAACTTTTTTTATTTTAATTCTGTGGATCCATAGAATTAAAAAAAAAAAAAAAATTGGTCGAGTTTGAATATCTGAATGTCGAGTAATATTCATTATAAGTTAAAAAAACGGTCAAAAATTAAAAATAACCAAATTTTGGTTGGCTAATCAAAATGTTCTAGATTGCAGATCAGCGAAATTCTGTCGGTGCTACTGGAGTACTTTGTTGAAACCGTAGAGAGACATGGCTAACGTGAGGGCAAATTAGCTCAGGGTTACAAGCATAGGTTATGCGAGATGAATGTTATTAAGGAATGTATTCAGTTGGCAGGTAAGGTCAAAATACATTATTTATTATGCATCGAACAAAACTCAGGTCTGACTTGTTCTCTTTATTAGTTTAGCTATCGTATTTATACATTGCAAAATGTCATAGTCTGAAACCAAGATCTGTGGCTTTGAACCAAGATCCGTGGTCTCAAACCAAGATCCGTGGTCTCAAACCAAGATCTATGGTCATAAACCAAGATTTATGGTCTCGAACCAATATCTGTGGCTCTAAACCATGCACAGACAAATCATATCAATAGAACTAATATAGTAAAGAATGCCATATAATACAATATAGAAGATATAACAAAGAAAATTTAAACACAAAAGTTTTCGTAACAGTCTAGTAGAAAATATGGACAATATAGACATAGCCCATAAATGTCCATGTCCAAGAGTCCATATTGTCCATGTTCATATTTTGCCAACATTGTCTATTAATAATATATTTTATCAATGAGATCACGTCACTTATTATGAAAGAGATCCCTAAATTTGGTTTCGACTTCTTCGGCTATCTTAACCAGTTTTTAGTAAAGTGACAAACATGAAATCTAAAAATGAGTAAACTTCAAGACTTTCTAATACAGTAAATCCAAGACATATGCTTTAGAACCATAGAGTCATGAATTATCTCTTTTAACTCCAACCTTATTTTATAATAAAATCCAAGATAAAATATGTGATATACTCTCGAAACCAGGTTTTATTATTTTATATTATCAATTAATTTGGTTATAATAATCAGAATCTGCCTGGACTGGCATGTTATTTTTAGACAAATAAGAGACAATGTTTTTGTTTAAAAAATACAGTGCTATTTTTTACTTCGCATTTAGCACATTCACTCATAGGTTTCTTTATCACCATCATATCTCACCACATTCTATTTTCATCTACTATTAAGGGTTCGTTGTATATAATTTACATGTACAGTAATCGAATGAGTTCAATATGTGAGTATTTGAGTTTGTTGTTATCACTTATGTTATTGTAACTTAATCCACTCTGCTGATAACAACATACCATATCTGACATTCAACACCTTTACTGAAATATACCATAGAGTTGCTTAAACATATATTCTCAACTCATTTAATTCCTAATTACTTCATACTCTATTGGCCAATATCTCAAAACCAAGATTAATCTCTCGTATCTCATCTCAATTTTTCATTTATAGACGCTTTGAGGATCTCAGAAACGATTATTATGTAATCTAGGATGTTAAAGGAGTGCTTCGTTGACTCCATTCTAATTGTAATGTTACTGTTATATTATCCGTTCGTATCTAAACACTTCATAATCTTCTATTTGAAATTCTCGAAATTGAGATTCTCTCTTAATTGCCTTTTCGTAATTTGATTGATTACATCCCCAAGTTTTTAAATCATTTTTAGATACAAAAAGATCTAAAAAGCCAAACGATGGACCGAAACCTTTCAGACAGCAAATTGCAAAATCCTTATTTTTGACTCTACTAAGCGTAGAATTGGATTGTTCATTTGTTTTTAGGGAAAAAATAAAACTAGACCCGGTTTCTTTATATTTCTTTCCCTTAATTACTTTCCAAGTAAGAGGATTATATCCACCAAAAATCTCCCCAGTTTCTAGAACTTTTAAAATTATTATAGTATTATCCATAATTTTACACTTGTTATAAAAAGTGGTTTTCTCAAAGCCATCTCTGCTACCTCTAAGAATTAATTTAAGCTCATGTTTTGAATCGTAAGGTAAAGGGCTAATCCAAGAAATAATTTCTTTTATGTGTTCATTAGTGATTATTTTTGAAGTTTCTTCATCTAATTGAGAAGTTTCTTCATTTGATTCAGAAGTTTCTTCATTTGATAGAGAAGTATTTTCATTTGATTGAGATGTTTCTTCATTTGATTGAGAAGTTTCTTCATTTGATTGAGAAGTTTCTTCATTTAATTGAGAAGCTTCTTCATTCGATTGAGAAGCTTCTTCATTCGATTGAGAAGCTTCTCCATTCGATTGAGATGTTTCTTCATTCGATTGAGATATTTCGTTGTTTAATTGAGGAGTTAATTGAGAAGGTTCATCGTTTAACTGAGAAATTTCATTGTTTACTTGAGAAGATTCATCAGCAGATGAAAATATTTTAAAAATTGATTTAGTCCTTTTGTTTATAGAAGATCGGATACTTGTTATGCTTTTAATGGATCGGATGCTTTTTTTGTTGTTAGAAGATTGGATAGATTCTAGAATTTCAAGAACTGTCATTATTTCTGGACGTTTTCCAGGATCTTGATTCCAACAACGTTTATAAAGTCTAACATAATCATCTGGTGTATTTTCAACGGGGGTTTCCCTGATTCCTCTATTAACATGAGTAACAATTGCTATTTTATTCTCATAAGAAATAAAAGGTGGTACACCACTCGAAATTTCCCAAAGAATTACTCCAAGACTGTAGATATCAGATTTTTTGTCACATTTGTACCGTGGATCTTTAAAACAACGAGGTTCTAAATATGCGTACATTCCACCAGCTTTAACCAACGTAACTTCATCTATATGTTTGGATACGCCAAAATCTGCAATCAACATTCGTTGATGATGAACTAAAATATTCTTTGAATGCTGTTAAGAAATAAAGATAAATTAATTTTTTATGATATTTAAAAAATAATTAAAAAAATATTAAGTCGGAAATTCTTACAAGATCTCGATGAAAAATTCCATTATTATGTAAAAAAGATAATCCTTCCGCTATTTCTTTTGCATATTGTAGTTTATCTGACCATTCTAGTTTCGAAAAGTTACGTTTTAAGTAATCACGTAAATTCCCATCCACAGCAAATTGCAAAATTAAATTATATTGACTATTAAATGGATCTTTTAAAATATATAAAAGGTTTATTATCAATTTATAAAGATAATATTTTCAGAAGATAATTGGTAACTTCAATGTTTAATTACCTTTAGTAACCCCATAAAATTGGACAATATTTGGATGCTCATGTTCGTCGACAGTAATAAGTTTCTGAAGCTATATATAAAGAGAATGAGAAACTTCATTTGGAAAATATAAAATACGTATTTATATTCATATGTACCTCATTAACAAATGCTCTAATATATACTTCGTTTTTAGTAATAATTTCATCGGTGGTATCAATATTTAGACTTTTAAGAACAACTGTCTTATCTCCCCATGTCGCTTTTCGTACAGTCCCAAATGGACCTCTACAAATTTCCTCAAAATTGCTAAATAAGTCGTAATTTTGTTTTATTCCCTCATCAATAATATTTTCGATTAATTCATTCAAAGCATTTGACATAATTTGCTAAAATAAAATTGAAAAAATGTGTATTTTGAAAAACAGTAAAGTATAACAGCATTTTACAATTACTTATGGATTCATACGTACGAACGTACGTGCTTTTTCTTTCATCATGCTTAGTCATCATTGAAATAAAGTAAATATTTAAGTGATACATGTTACCTTTGTCGTACAAATAGATTCATTATTGTTACATATTTATCTATGCTTTATCGTGTCACACTATTTATTTGGGTTATATCGGCAATGTTAGACCAATGTCATTGGTGTAATACCTTGCATAATAAAGGTACAGACTCGTACGTATATTATACCCTGGTCACTATATCATGATCGCAGGGCATAAATCAGTTATACCCTGGGCACTATATGTATAAGCGGGACTTTCAGCCCCGCTTATACCCAACTGCCCATGATATAACTATTGACCTAAACAAACAGTAATGACATTCTGAAAATTTGAAAGTCGTCGTAGGATTTTTAGCTGATGGCTTCTGCTTGCCGAAGCAGGCCAGATGTATGAGAGCAATAATAAAACTATAATAATCCAAAACTTTACCAAGACTTTATATGCTTTATCATCGACCGAGATCTTTTTTTTTTTTTATATTACGTTGCTTTGATGTGCGGCTCGCGGTTGAATGTATGTATATATGGGTATTTAAACTATTTTGCCCTCGGTGTAAATTCAAATAGCCAAATTATTCGTAATAGCCTAAACTAAAATACTGTAATTTAGAATGATAAAAATAAGGGGAAATTATAAATTGGGGCCCAAATTTGAAAATAATTATGAATGGAGGGCCCAGCTTATTTATAAGGGCCTAATTTTTTTAAAAATATTACAAATACAGGCCCTAATATAATCACGGGATCATTGCGCCATAATATTTTGCAATGATCACTCGCCTCACTCAATAACTACGTACATGAAATTGTGATTAAAGAAATAATATACGGCTATCAATTTTTATTCGTAATGAGCACTTATATTGTTTATTTATTTAATTCTTTTTTTTTTTATTTATTATTATTTTTTTTTACATGTAGAGAATCGTTATATTGAATTAGTGAAAAAATTTCTATATGTATAGCATAAAGGCAGCATTTATATGAATGTAAATTTCAATTAAGCGTTGTAAATTAATTTTCTTTCTGTCTGCGTCTTTGATTACAAGTTCGTATATTATGGCCTTTTTCACCACATTTTCCACAAGTATTTTGGTCCTCTGATGCAGTTTCTCCACGGCTATGTAAACGAGTTTTTCGTGACTGTCCTGCTTGCCTTATAGCAGCTGGTGGCAAAGTTTTATCATCGGGAAAGCAAGTTTCAACATCAATAGGTTGGGATAATTCTTTGTAGATATTTTGAAGAGTAATAGTATGGTATGTGATGTCTGTTAATTTTATGGTTGTCAACACACCTTAAGAATAGCTACACAAGCATGTTTACATGAAAACTGATACTGCTGGAATTCTTGACAGGTGCAGGTTAATAGGTTAAGATCTACAACACGGAAATTACTATTATCACTTTTTACCTCAAAAAGTGATTCATTTATTTGATAAACCATTCGACTATGGCATCCATTAATGACTGACTGAAGTCTTTGAGTAGTTGTTTGTGGTAATATTGTCTGCACTAAAGAGTAAGCTGTGTGATGATTGTAATTAAGTGTATTAACCTTACATACAAAAAAATAATTACATCAAATGGTTCTACAAGATGCAACCATGAATTAAGAGATTCAGATGCATTAGAAGTAAGGTGATTGAATCTGTTTCATGGACATTTACTAAGAGTCCATGTTGCATGAGGTATTTTATTATAGTAGGTTACAGCTTCTGCATGTATATTAAAGATTTCTTCCATAATTATCATCAAAGTTTTTTATATATAATGCTTTTGCTGCTACCCAGATTTTGTCTCTAAGCTTTGTCTTGAATTTTGTGTTAATATTTTTCTCAATATGCTATACACAACGTGTATGAAAAGCATTAAGAAGTTTTGAATATATGGTATCTGAATACTCTATATTTGATTTATTTATTTATTTTAATGCAATTATATTAAAAAAAAATATATATAAATATAATATATTTTTTTACAGTTACTTATAATTACAGTTTCACTTGAGTTTATTCTTGGAAGAGCTATATTCAAATACTCACAAAACCATATTTAGTTATTAGAATTTTCAACTAAACACATAGCAAAAGCTATAAGTACTAATTTACCCTTATCATCAATTATACTTGCACTTAAATATACATCTTTATAATTTGACTTTGAGTAGCAAGCATCAAGAGTGAACACATTCATATACTGTTTAACAGCTTTAACCCATAAATTATAGTTATCGTATGGGTCTGACTTACAACCCGTGCGTCACTATTTAATAATAAGCTTTTTTGTGTTACCATTTAAGTAATTTCTTTCTTTAATTTACTTCTTGCTTACTAATTCTAACCTTCTTTTCTACAAATACCAAATAATAGTCTTACAGTTGAGGATCCTGAAGCCCAACAGCTTAAAACCTTTCGTATATTGCAAGCACTGAAAAAAATACTTTGAAGTGGCTTTGCCATGTTGATTAGTATCGTAAAGAAAAAAGTATTACAAAGATGTTAGATCAGTTCAATAATAAAGAAAAACTTGTGTTCTTGTGCTCATTTCTTGGTTGGCTTAAAAAAAAAGATGGTATGCCATTTAAAGTTGAGTTAGTTCATAATTGTTACGCTGCTCTTGCAAGATATCTTCGTGAAAACTCTGCTATGAATAATATTCAACTTTGGGATAAGTATTCATTTTCTAAAACACTTCAGTGTTTGGATAGAAAAATGAAGTCTTTGCAAAATGCCAGTTATGGTGATACATCGAAAAATGATTTTTTTACATCAGAAGAAATTAGATCATGTCTCAACCATGATTATCTTTCGATTGAAAATAATAAAGACTTGATTAGAAGAGTTTTCTTTTGGCTATTGTTGCTTTGTGGATTAAGAGGTGATGATACGTATAGGTTAGAGTATCATGATCTTGAAAGACAAAATGATGGTGGGCTGCAATTAAGGTTTTACAGTAAAAAAAATAATCAGGGTGGTGTATTATATTGACAACAATATGGCCATACTGCAATACGATTTATTCCAATTCCCTCAGATTATATTGATAATCAATTTACACCTGTCAAAGATCTTCTTTTGTATTTATCAAAACATTCATATGAGTGTGAAGCTACAAATGCATTATTTTTGCAATATGCTAGAAAACAATCAGGCAATTATAAACTTACTTTTTTTTTTTATTTGAATTATTAAAGGTTTAATACTTTTTTTATTTTTTTAGAAATAAGGAATGGTATTTGGTATAAGGCATCTTGAATGGGTAAAAACAAATTAAAGTCAATGATGCAGCAGATAGTAATTAACACAAAAATAAATCTTGATAGAAGAAAAATAATGAATCATAGCACTCAGCGCACTGCAATAATGATGTTAAAGGCTTTCAATGTCTCTGAAGATGAAGCAATGATATTTTCAGAACATCGTTCTCATGAAGGTATTCGAGCTTATAGCAGCCCAACTGATGATCAATATTTGTCTTCTATAGCATTGCCAATTCCCCATGCGGCATACAATGAAGATCTTGAATTATTTTATACATTCTTTTATTAATTACGATTCTGATGATAATGAAGAATTAAGTTAGTATAAGTTATTACAGTATTAAAAAAATATATATATTTAACAATTTAATAATTTACTTATCTTTTAGATATTAAGATAACAAGCACATCAAATCCAAGTCAAGAACTTTTAAACCTCACCACCCAAACATCAATTTCCAGTAAGTTTTTTTTTTTTATCATTTAATTATAAATTAAATTTTATTTATTACTTTTTTTAATATTTAAGATAAGTGTTTTAAGAAAAAAAAAATTTTCCAAATATGAATTCAAAACTTTTAAAACTATTTAGAAGTTCCGTAATCAATCATAAGAACTATCATGACCAGCAATAACTACAGCTTCACCATCATGACTAGCAACAATCACCACTTACCAAATTTGAAATACCTCTGGTATTGTATAGAATTCTTTGGCCAATAAGAAGTTAAAACATAAAAGCGTGTATATGTTGATAGATTTAACAGGCTCTAGTTGTACCTGTATAGGAGTCTTCGAACATTAAGAAGATTTGGGACCACCAATATAGATATAGTTAGTATAAGTGTATATAGTTATAACCAAGCTACAACTGCTAAGAATCATCATAAAAAGAAATAATAATTTACTTGTTATGCAAAGAGCCTTATGATGCTATCTAACTATACTGAGTATTAGAAGTATATACAAAACATGTTTGGGCATCTTATCATCATATTAGGAAGTACAATTATTAATACAATTACCAAATTTAATATATTAAGACCTGGGTCCCAAAGTCACAGAAAACTAGCTAGTTACGGCAGTATGCAGGCTTGAGATACTTACCCAATTGAGTAGAGACAGCTACATAGTTTGAGATAAGAACTTCTGGAAGTACACTAGTAGGGATTAAGGGAAAATCTCTTTATCAGGCATACCAAACCAGAAGCAAAAAGCATCTACCTAGAGTAATATATATCGATTTGAGAGTTAAGATAGTAGGTAATGTGAGTAATGTGGTAAAAATGTAAATACTAATTGGCAGTTAGAGAGAGAAGTACAAATCCAGGTCAGCTGTATAATAGGAGTACAAGAAGGCTCTGGTGGATTTTAGCTATAGATGAATAGTTTGTATAACTTGACATCCTAGTTTTAGTTTTTATATATAATATATATATATATTAGCACTGTTATATGTTAATCATTTAAGTATTAAATAAAGTCTAGGGCAGGTGCTACATTCTGAATATTAAAAAAAAAAAAAATTAATAAAGTTTTTGAGAAATTAATTTGGGATAAATTTGAAATTTAAATATAAACAAGTTTAAATAATAGTAATTTGAGATTTTGCTAACATAGATAAGTATACTCTCTCTTCTCTCTTTTTTTTTTTTTTTTTTTTTTTTATTCTTTAACAGTCTTGCCGGTGCTACAATACAAATATTTACATAGTGAAATCTGTCTTAAAAAAATA